GCGCTGTCGTCTGGCCTATGAACTCATGCTGGCCGACAATGCCATCAACGCAGATGCCAGTCTTCAGGTATACTCGGTGGACACACTCTACGCTGACGAAGGTGACCAAGCCCGGTGGTGGTCCCTGGTCAACAACTTTGAGTCCGCTGGCCTAAAAATGGGTGATGCTGTCCGAGTGAGTGGTCTCAACCCAGAAGGATTTCTGAAAGTACTGCAGAGCGGTGGCAATGCCGAGGATAAATTTCTTCCGGCATTCATGCTGCAGGAGGAAGTTATTCGGTTGGCTTAATGAGAGAGTGCCTGGCCTGGAGGACTTTATTAAGCTTCCATATTTTTATTTTCTCAAACTAGGTTGGCTATAGGTACGCGTAAGTCACCAGTAGACATCAAGTTCCGTGTGAATTTGTCGTCATATGTTCTGTATAAAACGTGTCGCGTTTATTATCCTTAAAAGAAGATGAAGAACAAATATATATACATATACCTCCACTCTCAAAATACTTTTACGGCCGTACTCGACTGATACAACTTTTGACACATTCCGTTTTGGAGTACTGTTTTCCCGGAAGAAATTTGGACACGACAAAGGCAACGAGATTTGCAGGATTTCATGAAGTCATTGACTTGTTATTCCTTCATGGCATACAGTCATTGCATATTAATAGGGTAAAGTAAACGCTTCCGTGAAGTATCGATGTAGAAGGCTGAAACGTGATAGGTAAACAGAGCAGGAGCTTGCCGACAGAAGCAACTGTGCGGGTTCAAGGAAACAGTTCAGAAGTAGAAGATACGCGATCGCTGGAACAAGAAGGTTATTTACCGGACGTGCATTCATCTACTATTCTACTGTTACCTATGATTAAGGGTACTCGAAAAAATCCGAAACGTCAGGCGAGTAAGCATTTTTTCCGGCGATCGGATCTTCTACTGCTGCTCTTAGATGCGGGCACGCATGGTGACGAAAAATGGGAAGAGGGGGGTAGTTATGGAAAAAGGCATTTCAGGTTACAGCAAAAGTCTGTCTATCGTGAATTAATGAGGGCACAGGGCAGCAGTCGGTCATACGGGGAGGTGATTATGTGCGTTACAGGTTCATACTGAAAATGGGAGAGGGGGTGTTTGATCACTGGATCAATTCAAATTTACTGCTGAGTTTTCCAAGGTCTTATTCACTAATAACATGGTGTTTTCCCGACTGAGAAGTCAGGAAAAGCAGATAAGATCAATAGTAGTGAATATTCTACTCCCGGGTGGTAAGTCAGGAGAAGAAAGACCGTTTACTGGACAAGGTTTATTTGGTATCTGACGTTTCGGTTAGTTGACTCCTCTGTCCATCTTCGGAAAGGGAGTACAGTTGTTGCCAAAGACCATGCAACTTCATAACTTTATATAAGTTTGATCATTACTCGAATACCAGTGTGAATGCATTTAGGAAAACTTAGAAACAATAATGAACAGCATTAGACATGAAAAGAACTATAGGAATTACTAAGTGTTGGTAAAGAAAAATAAAATTTTCTCTATAATCCCGTATTTCTAGAGACGTAAAAAGAGCTATAAATTAGAACAATAAATTTAGATATGGTGTTAAGTTGAAAACTTGAAGCAACCACTTTCTATATATAGAAAGAACTTTTATTTAATCAAAATATTCTCTTAATTTTACCGTTACAGGATAAGTATATATTGAATGTGCGTATGGCAAAGTTTCTGATATGAAGAAATGCCTCGTCCTGCAAGTCATGACGAAATTTAACTTGGTAGTTTGGCATATAGTTGGACAGGTTATTTTGATCAACTGAGTGGATTTGATAATAAGAAATGCTTTAGTTTGGAAAACTGCCATCTTAGTTAAAGTTATAGAGCGAAATAGGCACTAATTTTGGAAAAATCATGAGTAAGTTTATATCGAACAAATTTCCTATGCCATAAGGTACGACAGAACCAAATTTTTTACTAATATGCATTTTGCTGTAGAAGAATTCAAGAGTAAGTAAAAAAGTGGAATAATACTCCCTTCCAGAACTGGAAAATTTTGTGCGAAGTTTATAAAATGGAAGTGAAGCCAACTTTAAGGAACCGCATTTATTTTCAGAAACAAGTAACAATTTAAGTTTGAAAAATTACATTTGCTATTCTGTTAAGTGTCATAAAGTGCAGTGATAAGTTTGTATGACAAAATTGTTTTGCTCCACCGATAACTATGAGCGCATAAGCAAATTTGGCCATGTATGTTACCATGAAGGTGACGTAAAGGAGGCCTTATTAAATGTTAGTCAGGTTGTAAGTCAGGGGTTGGGTATCACTACCAGATGACGCCTACTAAGGCAGAAAAGGCCTTCCTAGTGTCCCCTGTCTTTGCTGGTAATGTCCTT